TGAATCTAAAGGATTTAGGATAAGCAGAACTAAGATAAAGTACATGAAATATAATTTTAGTAACAGTAATAATAGAAGCAGAGAAGTGAAGATTGAGGACTAAGCACTACCTAAGAGTAAACATTTTCGTTATTTATAATTGATTATCACAACGGATGGGGAGACTGGAGCAGATGTGGTCCATAGAATTAAGGCAGAGTACTTTAAGTGGAGGAGTCTATCTAAGGTACTGTGCGATAAACGAGTACCCACTAAATTAAAAGAAAAGTTTTATAAAACAGTTATTAGACCAGCATGCAAAGGTGGATGTGTGGCAAGACTAAAAAGAACAGAGTTAGGAATGAGTATATTCGAGAATAGATAGGAGTAATACTGATAGAACATAAGTTGAAGGAAAATATATTGAGATGGTTTGGTCATATACAACAGAGATCAACGGAGACAGTAGTGAAGAGATGTGATACAGTGATGATATATGAAAGTATTAGAGGAAGGGGTAAACCAGATTGACATGGTCTAGTGTAATATATAGAGATATAAGTCTCTTTAATTTGACTAACGATATGACTTTGGATAGAGTCAAATGAAGAAGAAGGATTCATGCAACCAATCCTATTTGATAAGACTTAAGATTTGGTTTGATTTGATTTGATTTGATTTAGTTTAAATTGTTAAAGGTATATTTTTTTTTTGTTCACAAATCACATGAGCTTATATGATTTATTTTCAAATATCGGTAAAATAAACTTTGCCCTTTAGTTTTTGGAGTTGATTGAATCCAATTACAAAGTTGGAGTTAAGAGACATTTAATATATTTATAAGAAAGGGCATTTTAAATATTTCAGCCAGAAATGACAAAGTTAGAACAAAACTGATGGGTGAACATAAATAAATTAGAAATATTCCATTATGATAAGAGATTTTTTTTTGAAAGAGAATTGCTAGCGACACTGAAAAGTCACATAATAGACAAAAGGGTGTATAACCATTGTATTTATTTTGTGATTGTTTTTAATGTCTGTAGTATTTTGTAATTTATTTATTTATTTTCTATGTCCTCAGCAAATTTGTTTTTGAAACTTCCGAGACAGGTCGAATAACAAAGGTAAATTACATTGAAGTTTCTATTTAATAGAGATTTTTTTCAGGTTTAAAAAATTACATTTCTCTTCTTGAGATTTGTAATCTCATTATAAAGTGTCCTCTGAATTACTAATATCATACACTAAAATTTTTTAAATAATCATTTTACCATTTTTCCTATCATCATAACTACATTATATAACTTTTTATCATTAAATTCTATTTGAACATATTTTTATTGAGTGATGATATACAAACATAAATTTTATATACAATTTTCAAACACAATGATATAATTTAATGGTGGCCTTTCACTTTAAAGCAAAATACCCATAAATATTATTTATATTTACAACATTACTATCACAACATTTTTATGATTTTTTTGTATAAATTTTTATATATGAATAAAAAAATTTATTTTTATTTCCACTAATATTTTTCTTTCTCGTCTATTCTCCCACATTTATTACAATATTACCAAATACCTTCATTCACATTTATTACAGTATTACTGAATTTTTATATTTTGTATTTGGTGAATTTAAAAAAAATTACAAAATATTATACTTTTAAGTATATTTAGATTAGATATATCTAGAAAATAAAAAAATTATTTAAAATATTAAAAAAATATTCTGTAAAAATAAAAATACGCAAAAAAATATTTTAAAAAAAATATGTATTTGTGTGAGTTAAACTAAAGAAGATGATTGTTATTTCTCTTGAAATGATATGAACAAAATATCAATATTATTTTATTATTTTATATATACAAAGGCTAAGGGCAAATATACCATTTTAATCTGACATGAGGGTAAGTATAATTTTTCAAAAGTGAAGGAAAAATTTGTATTAAATAGAAATCTCAAAAGGTGTAAGTGTAATTTACCCAAAAAATAATAGTAAAAATATAAATAAATAAATAAATTAGAAAATCTAATATGAAAAAATTACTGATGGGTCATGCTTGCTATCCTGAAGTTTTGAATTCTGAATCAGGACACTTTAAACATATAATCAGCGCTTAAAAATTCCTAAATTTAAAATTAAAAAAATATATATATATATTATTAATTTGCATAGTATTATTGCTCATAAAACAAACAACAAAACCATACAGATAGATACATACATGTGAAGTGTGTAAAATAACTACAAAGAAATGCATGTGACCGGCAAATCTTCGTGAACCCAACTAAGATCTTACACTGCATACAAATCTCACTAAGATAATAGAAGAGAGAGAGAGAGTAGCTGGACTCTATTTTATTTATTTATAATATAAATATAAATATATAGCATATTAGTTCAGGCCTATTAATGCAACTATTAATTAATCTGTACTCTATTTTGTCGGTCAATATGTATATTGATCAGGCCTATTAATGCAACTATTAATTAATGAATAATATTAAATATATCAATTAATATATTAATTAGTATATTAATAGATAATGTAACATAATTTTAAAAAATTTAATTATTTGCAATTTGTATAATAGATATGATCATTAATAATGATATAACACTAGGTGGTATACTAGTGTGTACATTAATTGGTACATGTAACACCACTGTTAATTAATCTGTATGTAGCACCACCGTTAATTAATCTGTGCTCTATTTTGTGGGTTAATATGTATATTTAGAATAGGGGTGACTGTTGTGCGGTTTATAAGAATTATTTCAGATTTTGTTTTAATGATTTGAATTGTTCAATTTTTAAAGAATATCAAGTAAAATATATTTGTAAAAAATTAAGTTGATCGGATACAAATAAACCCTTCATCAACTCGCATTTGTATATATAAAAAAAAATAAATGGTGAATTACATTAACGGTCCCTGTGGTTTGGGACTTGTATTACTTTAGGGGGGCTTCTATCTACACACACCAAATCCCCTCTATACACACACTTAATGATATTTATTTTTATTACAATTTTATCTCTAAGTGAAATTACTATTTTAGACATCATACCCAATTCAAAACGTCTCTATGCACATCCATCCAAACTTCACATCCGTTGAAGCTCCAAGTTCGTAGCTTCTTCCATTGAAGCTGTTGAAGTTGTTGAATTCTTCCTCATTCATCATACATTAAGCTAGAAGGGAAAGCATCAACCTTCCTCATTCATTATACATTAAGCTAGAACGGAAAGCATCAACCTTCCTCATTCGTAGCTTCTTCCTCATTCATCATTGTTATGGAGGATTTGTCTTCTGAAAATCAGCAAATAAATGTTTATGAGAAACATAACGAAGGAAATGTGAGTTTCTCTTGTTTTTTTTTTTTTCCAGCGTCGTTTGGATAACCAGAGTCGAATTATATTATTTTGTTAGGAAATCTACTACTGAAATAAGTATTTAATTTCGGAAGTTATTGTCCGTAAAATGTCTTTAATTTCGGAATTTGTTGTCCGAAATAAGTTAACTTTTACAACATTCAACTTCCGAAATTTTAAAATTAATTCGGACAACTACTTTCGAAAGTTAGCATTTTGTTCAACACTGTACTTCCAAATGAAGTAAAAAAAAAAAAATTCCCATTTTATATTCCAAATTTGCAAACTGCATACCAAATTTACAATTTCGATTTGCAAATTAATCTTTATAATGCCATTAAAAATTAGTAATGTTATACAAAACATGTAGGAATATGTGTCAACTCAAAGAAGTCAGGTTTGCGCGGATTTTGTGTTGGATTACACTACTCAATTCACAACTGAACAGGTTGACTCTACGAAATTATAATGATTATGTTTCGAATTGCTCAACAAATGTAAATGTTTGATAATATTTATTTGACTTTGTAGGTATTCAAAAGTAAGGATAAATTGCTCAACTGGGTACGTGAAGTTGGAAAGAGAAATGGTTTGGTCATTGTAATCAAAACATCAGACTACGGTGGAGGGAAAAAAAGACCCAGGATGTATCTTGCTTGTGAGAGGAGTAGCCAATATAGAGCGACAAAGAAGTTAAAACATGATGGCAACAATACATCAAGAATAACCGGTACAAAGAAGTGTGGTTGTGCTTTTGATATGAGGGCTCACAGGTTTACCACACATGATGAATGGACATTGACTATAGTATGCGGATTGCATAACTATCCACCCGCGGAGCACCTTGTGGGACATTCATATGCGGGGAGGCTATCAAAGGATGAGAAAGCATTGTTAATGGATATGTCAAAGAGCATGGTTCGGCCAAAAGAAATCCTAGTAACCTTGAAACAGCGAGATGCCGTCAATGTAAGCACACTTAAAACCATTTACAATGTACGCCATCGAAATAGGGTGGTACAGAGAGCTAGAAGATCACAGATACAACACTTATTGGGTGAATTGGCCAAGTATAATTACATTGAGCGCCATCGGTCTGAAGAGTCCACGATGACTGTGACAGACTTGTTTTGGGCACATCTTACCAGTTTGGACTTATTTCGGTCTTTTCCACGTATATTAATTATGGATTGCACATATAAAACCAACATATATCGTTTTCCTCTTCTTGAAATTGTGGGAGTGACATCAACTGAAATGACTTTCCCTGTAGCTTTCACATACTTACAGTATGAGAGGGCCGATAACTATGTGTGGGTGTTAGCTACATTACGTGATGTCATAGATGGTTTTGTTGTGCCAGCAATTATTGTTACTGACAGAGAGCTAGCCTTGATGAATGCCATATAGAAGATATTCTCGAGTGACAGACATTTATTATGTCATTGGCATATCAGTAAGAATGTATTGGCCAAATGCAAGAAAATGTTTGAGACACAGCAGAAATAGAAGAAGTTCAACCATGAGTGGAACTCTTTAGTGTATTCATCTTTTGAAATTCAATACGATGAGTGTCTTAAATCATTACTTAAGAAATTCAGTAGTTATCCTGATGCAGTCAAATACGTCATGGATACTTGGTTGGTTCCTTATAAGGAGAAATTTGTGGCGGCATGGACAGACACGTGTATGCATTGTGGCAATGTTACAACGAACCGGTAAGATTACTTTTCTTCAATATGTTATTAATAAGTGTCATGTACTTGATTTTAATTTGATTTACATTGAATTGAACAGGGCTGAGAGTGCACATGCAAAACTTAAAAGACAATTGGGTTCATATCAAGTCTCATTTCAGGCATCATTTAAGAAAATACACAGTCTGCTTGAGTTGCAATACACTAATATGAAGGCTTCATTTGAGAAAAGTCTAACTGTTGTGCAACATCAATTTAAACCTTCTCAGTTCAGGGAGCTGCGGAGTAATGTGTCTATCTCTGCATTAGAGTATTTGGTTGTAGAGAGTAAGAGAGCCAATTCCATTGGTATTGATGTTGAAGCTTGTGGATGCGTCCTTTGCCACACTCATGGTTTACTTTGTGCCCATGAGATTGTTGACTACATCAGACAAGATCATCCTATACCACTTGCTACTATACACTCACAGTGGAGGCAACTTCATATCTCCATATGCAAGAAAGAAGAGGAAACGGAGGTGAGTTGTCATGCAGAAGTAGAGTTATTTATGAACAAGTTTAATGAAAGTGATAGAACCATGCGGTTAGAGCTTTTGAAGAAGTTGATAGAGATTGTATATTCGGGAAGCACTTTTCTTGTTGAGCCGAAGGTGAAGCCCAAAACACGTCCTGGGGATCATAAGAAGATCAATGTTTCTACCCGTCGTGACCCGTGTGCATTTGAGTTGGTGCAATCTGGACATGATTTCTTCTCACCTAGGGACACTCAAATCACTACATTAGCTTCTACTCTAGAAACCAAGAAGAAGCGACCTGTTAAGGGAAAAGAGAAGGTGAATGCGAAAGTGAAGGTATATATTACTAGAACAGTGAAACCTGGTGCATATGTTGATGTTTTCCCTTCTGGGTTGAAACCATACATTAAGTTTGTCAAGGATGTAGCTGCATATGGGAATTGTGGTTTCAAGGCTATAGTTGCTTCAATTGGTCATACAGAAGATGATTGGGCTCAGGTTAGGCGTGATCTGTTGGGTGAGCTGCATACACACAAAGAGGAATACATTACATTTTATGGGTCCTACGAAAGGTTTGAAGAATTGACAAGCATATTGTCATACTTTGAAAATAGTCCTGGATACTCACATTGGATGACTATGCCAGACATGGGGCATCTTGTTGCATCGTGCTACAATCTTGTGTTATACCACTTGTCATTACAACAATGTCTCACCTTTTTACCTCTTAGAACAGTGCCAGTACCTCAACTTGATAGACGTGAGATTGCCATTGGGTTTGTCAACGGAAATCATTTCGTCCAAGTATAACAGAAATTTATCAATTTGTGCATATACAAGAAGTTATGAGGTATGACCACTAACTCAATTGACATTTGGTGCAGGTTTTGTTACAGTCAAGCCATCCAGTTCCTCTTATAGCCACTAATTGGCAAAAATGCCGTCACCCTTGCTGTAACAACCTTCATACTGGTTACCGATTAATGACTGATTGATTGCCGATAACCATCGATTACCGTTAAACTGAATTGATCATGACTGGTAATTGAACTGATTAAAAGTATTGAACTGACTGACCAAAATTGAAACTGAATGGAATGAATACATCTGTTTGAATTGCATTTTATCTGTTGACTGTTTGTTTGATCTGTTCATGTTTTATGTTTAAACTGCTAATTGAAGGCCTTATCGGCGGCCGAATCCGGAATTGATTAATGTTTTATGATCCTCATGATTAATGTGATTTTATGGTGTATTTACCTGAAAACTGATTAGGTATGATTAAATTAGATTAAATTAAGCTAATTAAAGAGTTGGACTTAATTACCATTTTGCCACCCTTAGTGGCCCACTCAATATAACATATTTGAGCCTCAATATACACTTAGGCAACATTTTGCTCAGCCATTTTCTTGCTCTAGCTGACCAAGAGAGGGAGAGAGTGAGAGAACTTGGAATTCATCTTGAAGAATTGCTTGGATTGAAGTGTAGATTCCACATTGAGCTTCCCTATCCTAAATACAAGACTTAAGGTAGCTCCATTGTCTTCTTGTTCATGTTTTGAGTGGATTCTTGCATGGTTCATGTCATATTGATGGAGTTTAGAGCCAAAACATGGTTTAGATATTGAATTGTGGCTTAATTGTTGCATGCATGTACATATATTGAAGTTTTGAGGTTGTAGTCCATGTTTCCTCACATGCATGTCCATCTTTTGGTCATACTCCATAAGTTCATCTTGTTTTTGAAGGCT